AACCACAGGAAGGATGTGAAAGTCATTATTTTCTTCTGAACATCTTTTGGATATTTTAAATGTTTCTCATTTCTTTCGGAATTCTTCCTGATAGGATGAGTTTATGCTTCTTCTTTTTTAACGCCTTCTTCTTGTTCAGTTTGATTTTCCTGCCTCATTTTTATTCTAATATAACGATCACATTGACTTATCTGCTCTCCTTACTACAGCTGGTGATTGAGCGCACCCGATGCCAACTAGCAATCAAAGGGACTACGTTTCGAAAAAAGCATAAAAAGCAGGAGAGAGGAGAGAGCAGTGGCCAAGTCAAGGAAGAAGAAGTGACCATGATTAGAACTGAAAGAGGACTATCATACACTGAGGCCGTCAAAGAACTGAAAGAACTGAGGGAGTTGTCAATGTACATCAAAAGGAAGGGGAACAGGAAAGATCTGGAACCGGAGCCAAAACATTTGCATGGTCAAGAAATGTTTTCTAGCGTTCCTGTCATAAATTGTGCTGCAGATATACTACAGCGTAAATCGGAACGTGTTAAAATGGTGTTGGAGGCTGCGAGGATATTTTTGGACATTGACAATATCACAGGGGAGAAACTTTACAGGCCCAGGCAGGTGTGTCTGGGTCATAGAGTACGACAAGAAGAGGGATCACTGGGTGTACACACACTGCTAATGCCATATATTTCATAATATAGCTCTTGTTATCCAGTAGTTGGCAGTAATGCAAATTCTTGGATGCCTACTGCCATAAAACCAAAAAGAAGAAGAAGAAGAAGAAGAAGAAGAGGAGCTGTGTCCAGTGGGTCATACAGTGATCGTGTGAAAGCGAGAGCTTATCTTACTTTTTCAGTGGAAGAGTGTGTTGTTGCCGTAGTTACAAGTTTATTTTGTTAACTAGGATTTTATGTTGGTGTGTCATTTTGTCAGTGTTTGGCTTTTCTTTAGTTGTGTTTTAAAAGAAGCTTGTTTTCAGTTAAAAGAGTGGCTCTCAACTGGTCTGTCCTCAGGCTCCACCTCCGACTCCTTAATGAGTAATTCAGATTCAGATTCTTTATTGTCCCACAAGGGGAAATTTGCATTGGAGCACACAGAAGACAAGAAACACAAGGACAACATCACCATAAATCATAAACCAAAACAAATTTAAAAAATCAGAAAACACAACAAAATATATAAACATTGTAATAAAATCAGTCAAGAGCTCATACCGAAATGGAAATTCCAACCAAGTTATTAAAGTGCAAAGTGGAGGTGTGCAAATGTGCAATTCAAGTACAAAGAGCAAATAGCTAATTGTTGTTCAACATATTAATTGCACTTGGTACAAATGAGACCTGGAGTCTTTTTGTCTTCCTTACTGAAGCTCTAAACAACGACCTGAAGGGTCAAAGCTCAAACTCACTAATCGCGAGCCAAATTTAAGATATGTTTTAACCAGTCTGATTTGTGTAATAAAAAAAGGGTGCAGGTTTGACCTCAGTGGTACAAAACATCTAAATAGAACAAAGGCCAGCACACATTCATGACCCACTTTCTGCCCCGGCCCACCAGTTGAGAACCAACCACTGATTAAGATCATAAACGTAGCGTCCTGCTTATTATAAGCCTTTTCTGAGACGATTGCATACCTCTCATTAGATCAGAGATCCCTTTATTCTGGGATTATTTATATGTAGATAATTCATAAAGAGTCAGAATGACTCTAGTCAAGTATAGTTTTCTGGTAGTGTTATCTTTACTCTGAGCTGCAGTATGCATTGTGAATAATCTGTGATCTGCAGTGACTCGGCTGCCGCTCCGCATTCAGACGCAGGAGGATCCAGAGAATGAAGAAGCAGTTAAGATAAAGCTTCCTGCACAGATTACAGATCCACCTACTGGTTTGGATACTGAACTGATATCCACAGTATAGTGAATAGCAGTGGGAGGAAGGGAGGCAGTATGTAGACGTTTTTGTTCCTCCGCACCAGGATCATCAGTCTGCTTCCTCCTCCACAGGAAGCTCTGCAGCGTACGCAGAACACCAGAGCGGATATACTATTTTAGTTAGCCGGCATCACAGTGACATGCAGGAACCAGGAGAGGATTATTAGAGGTTCGTTTGGAAGTGTTGTCTTCATCAGAACTGACCGCATTGTTTGAAAACAGGAACTGACTTTAATTAGAATCTATCAAGAGTGTTTGTGGTTTCTTTAAACCAAGAGTTGAATAAACAAGAGAGACCAACTGATGTGGATGAAATGTAAATCAGTCGAGACTCGGCCTGGTGCTAGACTTTTACTTTGATGTCCACGTGTGACAGGACGTGGTCCACCCCAGAGGTACATAAAACATGCTGTTTTACACAAAGCCAATATTTAGTGTATTCCTTTCAAAGCTTTTGCCGACCTGTTCATGTCAAGTTGAGAGAAAGCATGTCTTGGTTGAACATATACTGTATAGAGCAAACACTGTGTAAAGGAGGTAGACGTAGCCATAGTGACTCTAACCTTTTGTTTGTGGACTACTACTTTGAAGCATGCCTTCAGGTTGGACATTTGGTCACCACCATGTTGCCTTTTTGGAGTCAGATGTGACCATATTTGGACCAGGAAATGAAGCTGGGAGGAGCAAAGGGTTAGATGCTAAGTTTTCCACCGTCATTAGCATCGTTTGCAAGACACTTCTTTGACTCAACTCAACTTAACCAACTTTGTGATACACACAAAACTACGAAGCATAAGATGGTAACAGACAAAATAAAATCAAAAATCAAATGTATTAAAAAAACATGTCCACTATTATTCTTAACTGCATCAATAACAGCAGTACTAGCCTTACTTTAGCTGCCATGGTGACAACACAATTGCAGCAGTCAAAAGAACTTGCTGAGCCCTGAGCCTGACGGGATATTGCAGGCTTTACTAACCTGGAATTCAAATGTGGTCATCTGTTATTCTTATTCATTGATCAATTACATTTTTTTATTGTACATTAAAATATATTGAACATGGTTTACAGTGGGCTATAGCCAATGCCCAAACAGGAAACCAGCAGAGTCTCTGTCTGTCTGTCGTCAATTGTGCAGAAATGTCATCCAGACTTTTTTCCTCTGTCTACAAACATTTAGACATAGAGGCCTAAATGTGCTCTAAGATGAATGTTTACCACAGTATAGTGATTAAAACTATTACAGTACATGATGATGAAAAACAAAAAACACTTTTAGCAAAAAGCTCCGTGTATTTTGGATGTCTGGGGTCACCGGACTTTTGTGAAGTCAAAGTGGGGTCATCATGGTTGGGATTCACTGGGTTTTCGAGAATTAAAAGCAATTCAGTAGAAGTTTGTTTTAAGATGAGTCTTAAGAATCACAGCAGAGGATGAGGAGGTAGAGAATTCCACAATTTTGGAACAGCAATACCTGTGAAATTATTTGGGCTGCTCAATTCTGCCGGCCAAAATCAGGCTTTTAACAAAATGTACTCACCAAGGAAGTAAACAGTAGACTCCTCAGTTTGTCTTTCATGTAAAATAAAAAGCTGTGGAAAATATTTGTCTGGCATCCCTGGTGGCAATTTGTTAATCACAAGGTAGCCTGCATTATAACTCCCCCTAGGGTTATCATCTATTTTCCTCTGAAAGGAACCAAAGTAAGCAAAATAAAACATCCTGCTGTATTGGAAAAGAGTCAGATCTAGAAACTGCAAACATTAAATCATTACAGAATTTTGTGCAGGGCTGTCTTTCAAATAGATTTCTATACACTTTGACATCTTTCTGAGACCACTGGAGGCGCCCTCTGGTGGACACAGAAAGAACAAGTGTTTAATATTTTCGTGTTATTTACATCTCTACCTCTGACACTCAGACCACACTGCACACCTGAGCAGAGCAAGTCAGTGAGGGAATCTTTTCTTTCTTTATGGCATGCATGTGAAAAGGTGAGAGTAGCCACACTGTCTGCATGAACAGCAAGGTACAGACAAGGATCACACGTTGCTGCAGTGCTGAAGATGACGAGAATAGGAAGCTTGTCTTAACTGGGACGTCTAAATCTGTAGAATATGTCAGTGCCATATCAGATTTCTGACTTATAGCTACAAATAAAAGAATCATTTTCAAAACCATTTAAAGGAGCAATATGTAACTCTGACACCTAGTGTTTGAAATGTGTACTGCAGGTCAAATTCAGAACATTGTAGAGAGCCGTCTTACCCTGCCCCCTCCTCTTTAGAGTCAATGCTCACACAGGTTGCCATGTGGTGGACACTGAAGCTTCAGTGTTTAGCCAGCTCTGCATCGGTCTGTAAACCTTTCTGTGTTCTAACCTCTCTCCATTTTTCAAAAGCATCTCCAATATTGATCCTAGTTTGAGCACGTTTCTGCTCGTGGAGCTTATTAGAAACATGCAGAGGCTTTTTAGGTCGGGTACAATCACTTCTATCTGAACCACTTCTCTTGCCCGCTTCCATCGCTGCAACACCTGTTGCTTTGCCATTGGCCTGGAAAACCGAGGGGCGTCCAAAACGGCCGTGTGGAGTACCCTAAAACTGTCTACCTTCTCTGGTCCAAACAAATCCAGAGCATTCAGGAGCAGAATCTAAAGTTAGAAGGAGGACATACTGGCTGCTGCATTGTTGTTAGAGAAGCCAGCACTTCAACTCTATTAAAATGTAATTCACTAGATATCTTTCAGATTGGACCTTTAAGTGTGAACAGTTCTGCTCTAATGATAACCCAACTTTCCCTCTTATTTGCACAGCACATGAAACAAAGAGTGATGTGCTTGTTATGTTTTTTTAGGTTGCACTGATACTGTCTGACAAAGTTTCCACAGCTGCACAGAGCCTAAATTCCATCTGCATGCCGTCATTGTTGAGGTGTTTCGGGCCTCCTGTGTTTCACCTGCAGAGGAAGGTTGAGAACAATCCCCCGTTTCAAAGGATTTCAATCATGTGAAATCATTTTAAACCCACTCATAAGACAATATTAAAGAAGTAAACAGGACCACAACCTCAGTTCAACTAACACAGATTTGTATTTTATTTAAAACTATGGTCATAGAAGTGCACAGCACCGACTGAAATCCTCTGTGTACAGAAGAGCAACATTTCCTCTGCAAATTAACTGTGACACCCAGAGGAAGAAAATTATTTTTTTAGTTTCACAAATAACACTCATCAAAAAACAAAACAAAAAAAAATGTGGAGGTACAGAATTTCTTCTGACTGTGCTCTCTCATCTTAACCACAGGTGCAGGTTTCTTTCTGTGACCCCCTTTAACTCAGCACAACAATCGTCGTCAAGGCCACAGGCACGAGGTATTCATACGTTCAATAACTCAAGAGGTATTTTGGCTCAAATAAATACAAGACTTTTGGTCTGTAGCTAAATTATACAGTAACACTAGTGGGTCCAGAGGTGCAAACTCTGCCTCTAGCCACCTCACAACAACATTCATATCCAATATCTCAAACTAAACTAAACTCCTGATGCAGCCTCTCTCCACAGCAGAGCATGCATACTGCACATGGAGTACACTTAATGGTTCAAAGTGCTCTACCAGTCTCATCAAGTCTTTCTTTTCTTTTTCAAATTAAAAACACACCTTTTTTCTTTCTTCATATACTGCTATGTTCTGGAGAAACATCACATCCCTCATCTCCACAAAAAAAAACACCTCATCTGTCGAAGCAGGGAGCAGCGCAGGTGTAGTGCATGCTGACTTGGTAAGCCCTGTTGGGAATGTTGCTCTTTGGTTCCAGTGAGGTAGTGATGGGCTGGGCGGCGGCGTGCTGGGGGACGTTAGGAGCCTGCAGGCTGCTGGTGGAGTGGCTGAGGTATGAGGCGGGCCTGTGGTTGGGGGCCTGCTGGGGATACTGAATGCTGGACCGCTGCAGGTACGGGGCCACAGTGGCTGTCTGGCCTGAACTGTTGAACGCCGTCTGGCCCTGCTGCTGCTGCTGCTGCTGCTGCTGCCGGGCTGCACACACTTCTGCTTGTTGGCCTCTTTGACGTCACTGTCATGTGCACTAGAAGAATATGGAGAAGGAGTTGGAGAGTTGGTTAGTGGGAAAACCCAACTGTGTAAGGCTAACAGTTATGGCATTTAATATAATCACACGCTCTCTGCAGAGCTGCTGCTCACATTAGCTGTGCATGTTTCCAGGTAAGGTTTCACTACTGTACTCATCAGTCACAAGGTTTTAACAGGAGCTGCATATTCCACAGAGGTCGACTACATCCAAGACAGTGAAACTCTTGAATGTCTCCAGTTTATAACGCTTATTGAAAGGTGTTTTATGTGAGACAAAAATTGTCACATTTTATGGCCATTAGGGCTGGGCAATACATGGATTTTATTGATTTATCACATTTGTGATCCAGGAAGGAATGAAAATCTGGACTTTATCTTCCCCTTGTGCCCCTGTAGGTCTAATCCCCCCCCTCACTTATCAATAAGTATTTTGCTGACGATTTTTTGGCATCTGTTAATTTATTTTGTCTGTTTCATTATTTTTTGGAGGATACTTTGATGTGATCTAGGCTTCACTCCTAGGGGGCCTTAAAGAGATATCGTCTTTGTTCAGAGGAGACTAGTAGAGAGTTGTTGTGGATCAAAAACTGCAGACTGACTGTTTCGGGTTTGTCCTTTCTATGACATGTTGTTTAATCTATTAATACGTTTGAAAAAATCTTTACGTGTCAATGTACAGTCTTTCTCTGATAGGATTGTTGAATTGCCTTGCATTGTGAACTTCTGTCTGTGTGCGATCCTGTCGCCCCTGTGTCATGTGTGCCAACAAGCTCTCTGTTTTCAGTGTCCTTTATTATCACAAGATGAAATCCTTCATTTTCAATTGTCTTTGAGGCCATTTTTATAAACTGTCGGGAGCTGTAGAGAGACACGTACATGAGCAGCTTCTCGGCACATGGGACGAGGTTGTCCCACGAGTAGCCTGACAGACGCTGCAGTCGGTTGGGCCATGTTGGGGACAGGTGGAGGATGAGGCGGGAGGTGGCCACACACGCAGCCGCCACCAGTGAGGGGGCGAAACACAAAAACACATGATCTGAAGGGGGAGGGAGAAAAGAGAAATCCATCACAAAAAGAAACACTGGCAGCAGTAAATTCATTCATGATTTTTAAAAAGAAAAAGAGTTCTGGTCAAATTTAACTGTCTGGTTGTCTGACCACATTAAAGCAGCAATATGTAACTTTTTCACATTAAACTTGTAGTCTCACAGCAGATCTAAAAGCAATACTTTCATCATGAAGTACTGCATCTACCTCATGTCCACAGAGTGCCCAGGTCACCTGTTTTTAGCACGATGGAACTTTAACACACAGTGGCCCTCACTTATCAAATGTACGTACGGCAGGAAAATGGGTGTACGGTCATTTCCACGCAAAGTTCGGCACTTATCAATTTGGATGTGAGCGGAGGGTACGCTCAAATCCCATGTCAGGTCTCAATTCGTGTACGCACGTTTTCAACTCAGTGTGGACTTCTGTCCGTGTCGGAGAATAATTAGATTTTACTATAACAGTGCTTGTTAAGACGGAGAGGTTCACAGATTTACTGTTAGATAAGATATCTCAAATGTATTTTATATTACACTTCACCTCAAACGATCTCTGTAGACTACATCGTTTTTCAATAATGTTGAGCAGCGCGAGCTGTCGGGTGATTTATTTAGTTGTGTGTTATATTTGATGAATTAATGTTTGTTTAATCGATTTACTTTAAAGATTAAAGATTAGAGAGGCTGCTTTCAGTAAATACATGTTAAACGTTCATGCTGCAAGATATCGCTGCAGAAAATACTGAGACAAATTAAAACAGAAAAACTAAAAACAGTTACTTCAAAAGGACAAACTTCCAGAGATACTAAATACAACTTTTAGAGTCTGAACTATGAAATATTTAGGAATACAGAACATTAACATTAGATCATAACTAATCGGTATGACCGGAGATTAAAATAATAATACGCTGGTGTGCCACATGCGTAAGGTAATTGCACACAGCAGACGCACATAGGCCAGAGACTAGATGTGACATAGTAACGAATAAAGAAATCCGGGGGCTGTAAGACAGAGTCAGGACCTTCTTTTATGTAAGTGTTAAATTCTTATGTTTGGAAAGAAGGCTAATCGGATGAGGAGTGCACATTGCACAGCGTTTGATCAAACACTTTGTTCATGTGATGCAGGACGTTTCAGGTTTCTCTTCTCTTTTAAAGTCTCATAAATGGCGAGCTGCCAGTGCAGCCGACATTATCCGACACAGATGCAGGTTCACCTGCACCATTTGCCTGATATTGAGGCTGAACCGATGAAGGAAGCCACTCGCTCCACGATCTGGGATTATTGCAGGTGGGGTCCGGCTGGCGTCCTCCGGTCTGGGAGCTGCTTCTTTGAAGACCCGCAACACTAGCTACATTGTAGTGATCGTATGGTCTGACCATTTTTAAAAGTATTTAAAAAATTATATTATAGCCTAGATTATGTATGTTACATATCACGGATGTTATATATTTTTTATATTTAAAACCAACACTGTTGAGATTTCCATGCGGGCGCATTTCTTCTGAAGCTCTTTAATCCTACATTTCAGGCTGCCAGACAACACAATGTTATTGCTCTTTACTTTCTCTGTTATGGTGTCACTCAGGTCATATCTCGTTTCTCTTCTTTGCCGTATTAAGTATCTCCATGCCGTAAACTCTGGGGGCGAGGACAGCGGAGCCGTGAATAAATAGGGCGTGGTATTTAAATGACGATTGTTTCCAGCCGCCACACTTATCAACACCCGTCTTGCGTACGCTGTGATCAGCCAGATACGCACATTTCATAGGTCCCACGTGGACTCTGTCGTACGATGATTTCTACATCCAAATCTGCGCTGGTTTCTACACCAGATTGATAAGTGAGGGCCAGTAAGTGCATATGGCTTTACAGGACTCGTCCACACAGCAGCCTTCAGCTAAAAAATACGCCAGCTATCCCATCTCCGTCCTGTGTGATACAAAGCCTGAGGCTAAGAGACTGAAGAGGACGGTGACAGATGAAACTAAGTAGAGAAAGAGAGAGAGTGACGGAGGAAGAAGCCAGATGAGTCTTCATGGTTGATAAATGGATAGTCAGAAATTGGGGAGAGAGAGAGTATGCAGGAAAGGAGCCCCAGGTCAGATTGGACGCCCGCTTTAGAGACTACAGCCTCTGTACATGGGACACGCAAAAATAACCACTAGGCCAAAGGTGGCCCACGGCAAAAAAAAAAAGTTCTTCTGTCCTCCCACACAGGGCTGAGTGTTACTACAAATGACTAATTTGTTTTGATTTTCAAATAGTGAGCTATGAGTCATGATCATCACACATTGAATAGCAGATTAAAAAAAAGACTTCATAAAAAGTGGGTTTACCTTGCAAGGAAACCTCCAGGAAGTAATCGGCATATTTGGCCATGTAGAGTTTGGTTTTCTCCAGGCACGTCATAGGCCAGCCATCATGGAGGTCCCCCTCATTGACAGCGATGGACAGGTAGTACTCTATGAAGTGAGCGGCTGTGGGGAGGTACAGGTTCCACTGGAAGGTTTCCAGCAGCAGCAGCTCCATGTGAAGTAAACCCTGCTTGGTCAGGACCAGGTTCATGGAGCTCATGCACCCCAGGCTGTTCAGAGTCTCCAGCTTGGGGACCCGGTCCTCCCTTTCTTCAAATTTACCTGCAGAGACAAACATTTAAAGTTGACCCTATTTTTAAAACTCACATATAGTGTTACAATGCTGGATGCCTATACTAAACGTGGGCAAAGTTTTAGATCATGAGGTAAATGTATGTTGGGAGTAATCCTAGGGTGAGCCAACAGAGGGCGCTAAACAGCTTGTTAAATCACACTTCAAGCCTCTACATAAGATGTTAAATCCTCTAACATAGCCTATCTTCTCCTAGAACTCCAGAGCAGCCGTCCAATGGTAGCCCTACAGCGTTCTGCCACTTCCAGAGAGCTGGCCAATCAGAGGAAAGTGGGCATGTAAAGAGAGGGGGGCCTTAAAGAGACAGCTAAACTGAAGCATTTCAGGCAGAGGCTGACGTGAGGGTTTTTACTGATGCCTGTCAGATGCAAATCATGCAAAGTTACTCTAGAAGTAATGTTTCATTGACTTACAACATCAGAGGTGAAATAAGTAAAATATGGGATCTTAATAAACATCACACGAAGCAGAAAGAAACAATCACATGCTGGAGCGAGAGGTCATCTACAAACTCACTGGCCAGCAGGAGACATGAGAGTGAGACCATGTGGAGCTGCTGCACAGTGACGTCATAGCGGTCCATGAAGAGGTCCAGCAGGTAGACGGCCAGGTGTCGGGCTGCAGGACACAGCCTGAAGCGGTTGCTGACGATGGCTATGAGGTCAGCAAAGTATCGTCTCAGGCTGAGCTGAGGGGACTGGCCTTTGAAGGAGGGCAGCTTGAGCTCCTGTTTGACAACGTGTCAGCGAACAGAGACATGACGGTTAACAAATCTGAGTTTTATACTTTTTGAAAAGTGTAAATATCATGACTGTTTGTTTGAGAAGATTCATATCTCACCTCTGGGTACAGTTCAGTTTTACGGGCTGATCAATGTGATTAATAATCATTTCTCTTAATATTTTAAATTCAAATGAGTTGCTACAGCTGTCAATACACCATCTGGACATGCTAGTGCCTTACTAGCATGTCCAGACGGTGTATTGAAAACTCCTGATGTCCGATAAACAAAGTACAGATGTAAGGAAACTACACATTTTGATTTCATGATTGAATTATTAAACTATGGCAACCAGGTTTGAGTTGTAACCCTGGTCATCCTCAGCTTTTGTAGATTATGAACACCAAATTGTGCAGCTTTACATTATTTTAAAGCATCATTTTAAATTCCTGGATTTCAAAATCTTACCTAAAATAAAAAATAAAAAACAGTAGCTTTATTTAAATAATGAATACATGGGCGGTTCTAGGCAGGGGCCAGTGCCCCTGTAACAGTGAGCTTGGTCCCCCCTGTGGCCACCCCTCCAAAAGGAAGAGCCCCCCTCATAACACATACACAGTATTTGACTCAACAACCGGACTCACAATCTATATTAAATACTGAAACAAATATAAATCGTGGTATTTTATGTTGTGGCATCATATTTTTTTGTCATCTTTGTCTATTTTTCACCTGCGTTTAATGTTCCCCTCTGACAAAACAGCTGGACCCAGTTTGGCCCCCTCAGTAAAAGTGGTCTAGAACCGCCACTGAATGAATACACACCTATATCATCAGGTTTCAAATGAATACATCTTGTGTCTGTTGCTCTAAAAATAATCAAACACACAAAACCAGAGCTGCAGCCAGAAGTCGATTTATAAATGGAAAGGAAACTGGTGATGACTTTTTCAACCATTTTACTAGCAAAAAAAAAAAAGTTAACTCTTTGCAGGTTCAACACTCCTTCATGTAAAGACTTGCAGCTTTTCTTTGTAACACTACAGTGAACTTTTTGGGAGGTTTTGAATGAGTAAAGGGATGAATCCGGAACGTAAATACTAGTAAATTGTAACAATAAAGAATAAGCATAAAGAAGGAGAAATCCACTAAGAGATGTAAAATACTAAGATTAAGGCTGTGTGTTTGTCCAGCAGTCATCCCTGAAGTTGATGTCACTCACTCTGTATCTGAGCGCCTGGTAGATATCGGCAGCGAGTTGTCCTGTCCACCATTGGTCCTCCAGCTCCATTTGACACAGTGCTGTGGAAAAACCTCTACAAATACAAACATGTGGGAGGGGGGTGTCAGCTCATGCTGAATGCTGAAGCCGCTCTGCACATGGAAACACAACGTTTTCACATTTTTAAAACTCGTTGCAGCTTCACATGAGCTGATCAGGAGTGGTTCACCTCGGTATATATCTCCTGTTCACTGTTTTTACTAACATGTCACATTACAACTGTTTCAGTGGACTCACCCAATGAGCACATGTATGTTGTTTCACTGAAGTAAACTTTACTTCACATTAGCTGGACATGCCCGCTGCTGCTGCTGCTGCTGCTCTCACTCATTGTTGTAGTCAGCGAGGCTCTTCGGCTCATGCACGAGTTCAGCTAACACCACTGCTGCCTTCATGGGCCGCCGGAAACGCGAGCTTCCCTTCGAGATCGCGTCAACATTTAAAACAAGAATCAGACTCATTCTCATTTGTCAGGTGTGCACACTACACAGGGTTTGACTTCAATAGACTGTGTTCTCTTTTTACGATCATTAAATGGAATATACAATATACAAAGCACACTATTCGAGTATGGCAGAGAGAGGCCACATTTAAAGCAGGTTTACACTGTTACACTGGGATTGGGGGGTATTCATTTCATGATGAAATTTCCCTCAAGAGAATGAAAAAAACAATGTGTTCCGGTACAAGCCATTTAAATCTTGTATCGCTCTAAATTCTTGTCTTCCAGAGGGTATTTAATACAGACTATTACATTCCTGAGAATGCATCATATCTCCAGCTGTAGCAGGGCATAGCCTACAAATGGCAACCAATAAAAAGTAAGAAAAGTAACTGACGACATCCTATCACAACAGCAATAACCAAGTATAAGGAGAAAATAAATTAACAGATTAACAAGAAATGATTGTAAAACTTCAGCAGTGAGGCCAGATGCAGAGGAAAAATTAAAAAATCCATGGCCTGCAGGGGGCGGAATCCAGTGGTCAATAAATGGCAGTATATAAGAAAAATACCCCATTAAGCAATCTCCTCCTACGTTTATGGTCACAATGAATGCATCAAGTTGTTTTTCCCTGCAGCATAATCTTTATTTATTTAGTTACTATTGTTGTATTTAGAGGTTAAAGATGATACAGCAGGGTGTGCTCCCTGTGATTGATTACTGGCTTCTAAGCAGCAACTCCGGTCTTACAAAATGAAGCCAATGCAGAAGTGCAAAATCCTGCAATTCTGCAAGTGTCCGCTTGAGGCTGGCTCCAAGACCTCCGGAAGTCAGATACACACCTGACCAAATCTGTAACTTAAAAAACGCAATAGGTCTGAATAGTCATTGTCGTCATCGGCACACACTGTACGGGGGTGATTTTTTCTTTTAAACGACTCTGTTTTAATTTGATGAACGATACCTGTTATCCATAGTTAGGCCCGTAGCTGACATGATTGACAGGTGGGAACGGTGTAACGGTTTGTCATAACTCTTAAAACCCGCCTCAGCTCCAGATCTCAGCCTGTCGTTAAGTTGACTAAAAGTTAGACTGAGACACGATTCCCAGCATGGCGGTTGCTGCTGATGAGCCTCTGGAGCCCCCTGCAGGAACAGATGAGTGACTTCACTCAGGCATGTCATTTAATATTTACAGTCAATTTTTGCTACCAAGGATGCTGCCTAGATAGGCTACCTTTAAAAGCATTCAGGGTTCACTTATAAATTGACAATGTAACAGAATTGGATGCTTCTCCATTTGGTTTGTGAAGAAACACCAAACTAGTCTACCATATGCTAAAAATGCATCCAAAATCCCAATGCTACTGTTGTTACCATAAAAAACAACTTAAGTGTGTACAAGGGGTGCTTAAAAGTGATGGGCACTGCTTGGCTATGCTTTCACTAATGTTATTGCAATTATTTTTGATTTGTAAAATTGATCCATTAGCGTTAGCATTATTGGAAGATTTCGCAAAACCTTGTAAATATTGTGATCCCGTGACTCAGAGTTTTTTTTTTGGCTGAACATACTGTTGACCTAAAGTAATACAGAGGAATTGGGCTAGTTTTAGATCAAGCTAAAAGCTACTGGCTAGCTGGCTATAACATCAGTGTTTACTATCAGAATTGTCACAAATAGTCAAGTACTTGTTACATAAGTGAGTTACATGGATAGAAATGCATCCAAAGTTGCTGTCTTTTTTTTCCAACATATTTTCACATGACTTATAAAGCCAACTTTGATGACTTCACTAACACTAAGCATGCAGCTATAAATGTTATTGAATTTATATGTAATTTGTCGTCATTGTATTAGCATCAAATGCTGGCATGTGCTGTGATATTTACAACTTTCTTTTCCGTCTGTTCGCTGTTTTCTTAAATAACAGTGTGTCAAGGCCACGTAGACATCAGAATAACTCTTGTTTTGTGTGGCATAATTCCCTTTTCTCTTCACCCATGTCAGTCTGAAGGTCTTTCTTAACTGATAAACAATAGACATTCTTTCTGTTTACTGAATGTGTTTTAGGTACTTGTTGTTCCCAGAAAAGATGTCATGCTTGTTGAGTAAGACCCCGATGAAGGCCACAAGCCAAAACGTGTCAGACTAATAGAGTTAATAAAGTTGAACCTCAAAGTGTTGCTGGAGCTTTATGACCTCTTCATGCTTGTTGAGCAAGACATTTTTTGTTTTTGTGGTACAAATTCTAAATGGGTCATTTTGCCTCAGCAAGAAAGAATAAATGAATTTGACCCAATTTAGTTAAAGCATGTTGATGTGGCTTCCTTGTTATTCAATACCAAAAAAAGAAATCTAATGTTCTGACCCAGATGCAGAGTTAAACTGACTGTGTATGAAATATAGTCGGGCCTGGATACAGTAACTGTTTGCATTTGGCCAGCACAGGAGGAGACTCAGTTGGTAGAGTCGGTCGTCTTGCAGGGGTTCAATCCCCAGCTCCTGTGGCTACATGTCTGATGTGTCCTTGGGCAAGACACTTAACCCCAAGTTGCTCTTTCTGCTGGATGAATGTGCATGAATGGGATTGGTTGCTCTTGCTGGTCACTTTACACAGCAGCCTCTACCATCAGCGTGTGAATGTGTAGGTGTGACCTGTGGTGTAAAAGCGCTTTGAGTAGTCAGAAGACTAGAAAAGCTCTACACAAGCTTAAGTCCATTTACCATGTACTTTAGCCAGAACCAGACAGATACTGTGTTGTACAAACAGTGACTCCTCTGTGATGATACAAAGCTTTGTGATATATTATATAATTACTTGACATCTCTGCAGCTCCATTTGCAACATCACAGAAATTGAATTAAAATCCCTAAATACATGATTCAAGCAATGTGCAAGAGCCACAGACTGAAGTGCCAAAAAATGTAGTTCCTCTGGTGTCCACTTGGGGCCGGCGCCAGAAGTGAGGCAATCACCGTAGAGTCTCATGTTAAAATACAGCAGAATGGGTGTAATGTGGATTATCCACATTACATTTAAGTATTTATACTAGAATACTGTCTGGACTCTTTTTTTTATTTTGGATAACAATGAGAGCTTTGTGTGACTGATGTTGAACCACATATATTTCTTCTCTTTTTTCACATTAATCTCAAGGTCATGGTTATAACTTTATTGTTAATCCCATGCTGTTGCGGCCCAGAACTCTCGGAGGGCTTTGGGTGAACATGACGTTCTTTTCATGTCTTTACATATTTTGTTGGGTGCATAAGATCAAATTTGAACAAAGAACGTCCCCACAGTGGTTTCACTTTGAGCTCGAGTAACATAAAAGAGCAGAGCGTGGATTGTGGCAGCATGCAGGGCGTAAATCTTAAGAGGATTGGTAATGCTAGCTGTTGAGGTGGTGGGTAGTTTTGTTCTTAATGGACTGACACCGTCTCCCACAGGAAGACAAATGGTGTCCTGGGTAGGTGGGGGGAGCTGGTGGCCATCCTTTCTGTGCTTTTCTTCCCCCCAGTGTCATGCAGAGGCTTGGTGGATGGCAGCTGACAGCCACTGACCTGTGAACCACCCACTGCTGATCTTTCTCCACACAGCCACACACAGAAACACTAAAGAAGTGCAGACGTTATTGACGGTGCAGTGGATCAGTATCGGCAATGTGCTTCCTCACACTCTGCAGGAGAAACATCCTCTCTTAGGCTCTTCATCTGAAGTATTCTGGTCGAGGGGATTTGTCAAAGAGCTTTAATTGTCCTTTTTCATGCCTATCGTCTGCAATGCATAACAATAGACTGTATAATAAGATGGACAATGCGCCAACAAGGCATGAGCAAACTCGAAGGATCGGAGTTCTTTCGTCTCCTCCAGAGTACAGGAATTGGATTTCTAGCCACTTCGTTTCAAACTGTAACTGTTTTTAATTGATCTCAGTGTTTTTGCTTGTTTTACTGTGCTTGTAATCTCAAAGGCATTTGAAATGAGGGAAACCTCAGTGTCCTTTAGAGAATAAATAAAGGTTTGAACTTCCTCCTTTTGTACAAAGATGAAGACAAAAGCGGTATGAAGCCATGCACTTTCTGCTAACCAAAGCACACAATTAACTTTCCTATGAAATAACATGGTCTCCTGTATTTTCTCATCTAATAATCCCAAGAATGTTGCAGGAGCTGCATTTGTCAACAGAGCTTTCAATCATGATGCTCTTTTTGCATTAAAACAAACAAATGAAAGCCTTGTACTTGGACATGAATCAGCGCGATAATAACTATCATGACAGAAAGCATGTTTGAGAAAAATCCATTGTCGTGTGTTTTTGATTTTATAGTTTAACTCATGTTCCATCTGTTAACATGGAGGATGGAGGGTTGAGGACAAATACTGCAGCCAGCCAGCAGGGGGAGCTCTAGATCTTAAGCTTCAATTCCAGATGACTAGTTCCATCAATCTTGACACACACTCTTCATCTAACACACACTCTTCATCTGACACAACACACAGCCAACGCCTCCTACTTGGTTTTGTAACACCAGAATGCGATACAAAGACGCACTTGGACACCCATGCTCACAATCTGTTGCAGATTCAAGGTCAAAGGGCTAAAGACTCACCTGATTTCAATCAATCAATCAATCTTTATTTGTAAAGCGCCAATTCACAACAAATGTTCTCTCAAGACGCTTTACAAGAAGCAGGTAAAGTCCTTACTCTTTGCTATATTATGTTACAAAGACCCAACATGAATCCATCGTGAGTGGTGCAGTGGTTAGTGCGCGCGCCCCATGTATGGAAGCTGTAGTCTTCCAAACAGGCAGCCCAGGTTCTAATCCGACCTGTGGCTCCTTTCCCGCATGTCATTCCCCACTCTCTCTCTCCCTGATTTCCAACCCTATCCACTGTCCTATCTCTCAAATAAAGGCACAGAACACACAAAAATAAATCTTTAAAACAAAACAAAAAAAGTTACAGTGGTAAGAAAAAATGTCTTTTAACAGGCAGAACCAGACTCATGATGAACAGACATCTGCTGAGATGGGGGTACATGAAGATTTACAGATAATGATATGCAGGAAGTGACTGCACAGAGAGAGAGAGAGAGAGTGAGAGAGAGAGAGAGAGAGAGAGAGAGAGAGCGATGGGAACTCAAGGTTGATTTCTTGATTCCGGTACATCAGACATTCCTTGGTACATCAGATCAGCTCATCTGTACCTTATCTTAGCTTTGAGAGGCTCTGTTCCAAAAAAGCACAAAGGTCTCTCTGCCTGTTTAGACTCATTCACATGAGATTTAAGTAAGAGAGTGAGGTCACTGTTAACATACTAATGCTTCAGTATATCTGTACGTCTGTAATAGTAGTTTACTTTTTGGATGGTAAATGGACTTGAGCTTGCATAGTTCTTTTCTAGTCTCTGACTACTCAAAGTGCTTTTACTACGCAGGTCACACCTACACATTCACACACTGATGGTAGAGGCTGCTGAGTAAAGAGACAATCAGAAGTAACTCATCCCATTCATACACATTCACACGCTGACGACAAATCGGGGGTTAAGCAGGGTTAAGGTTCTTGCCTTAACACACTGGACATGTTGCTGCAGGAGCTGGGGATCGAGAGATTACCGACTGAGCCACAGCTGTTTTCCAGTATGTTTTCCTGTTTAGGCATACACTTATTTCTGTGTGTGTGTTAACCTTTAGAGCATACTTCTGGCCCACCCATTTTTCCACAAACTTCAGTTGTTGACTATTTTTGACATTAACATTGTTCATGTACTTTTGTCTCAGAAGTTCAATATGAAAATCCAGATTCCCCTGTTATTATTTGATCATTAACAGTTTCATAATTATTGAACTAGATGAGCTAAAAATCTTCATCTTTGATTGTATATAAACATCCCTTTGTCAATTCTCAATCAAGAAACAGAGTCATCTTATGGATAAATGTGCTAATTTGATGAATCTCTCTATGTTGTTGATTGTGTACAAAAAAAAATTCCTGCACTTTATATGTGATGTCTGATATCTAGTAGTTTTGGGGCTTTTGTATAGTAAACCCTTTTATATGTCATGTGGATGTGGTTTTCACATGAGCCGTTTGTAGGCTTCTGCCGCACATGTGTTTATGTAGTATGTTCATGTAGCCTACTTGTATTCCTGCGTGTGAAATAAATAAATAAATAAAATGAGTTCACCTTATTTTTTACAAAGTGCTTTATTTCAAACAACAAATGCCATGAACAACACATAAAAAGGAGGGGTGACAGATAGCCTGTTAGATCGCATGCCCCATGTACAGAGTCTGTAGTTCTCTTTGCAGAGCCGTGGATTCGAATCTGACCTCGGCCCTTTGCTGCAAGTCGTCTCCAACTCTCTCCTCCCAACGTTTCCTGTCTGTCACAGTTGTCTATAATAAACGCAAAAATGAACCAAGAAGAAAACATAAAAAGGAAAATATTCTTCAATGTCTTCAACATAAGCAATACACAAAAACACATAGCAACCAATGAACTGACTTAAATGAAAGCTTATTCAATTTAGTAGCTTTTTAGATAACCTTTTAAACAGTCAACAACGGCAAAACATATTTAACAAATTCACACAGCCATATTTTTTCTAAGGAAGAGAAGCTCAGATATCACGAGGTTAAGGTGATAATTCTGTTTGCAAGTTTCAATGAGTGTCAAGGTTTTCTAACAATGATTTATTTGCCTCTATAAACAGATATCTTCTTATAACCTTCTATAACCTTCGGATAATCCAATAGAGATCAAACATTGAAATTTTTCGCCACAAATCTGCTACACCGTGTGAAGCCAATCAATGTTCAGATTCCCCGACTAAACCTGAAATGCGTCAGAAACGATTGACCCAACCTCCATTCAACAAACGACCTTTCTCCTTTTTTCTTTCTACAAATCTGTATCACAATGCTGTTATTTGGTAAACTTCATTCTGGTTAATCGCACGTAAATCACATGAAAATGGGTTCCTTTTTCTGGCTCATATGTCAGTGTGAAGTTGCTGCTGTGACACATATTATCTAGTGTGGAACTTTCACATACAAGAAACAGATGAGGAGGCGCCACTCCGGGGGTTTCTGAAACAAGAAATCACACCTTCAACGTTCACAAAGTAGATCGATGCAGCCCTGAAAAGGAAGTCTTGGTTGAAAGTTGTTTAACGCTAACCGCTAGCTACACTGACATTACAGAGGAATTGGTATCTGTATCCAGAGGCATCATCGACAGACGATGCAACCAACGATTACAGACGATGACTGCTGATGTTCTGAGATTGTAAAGAATGCATCGTAGGCCTAATACACAAAATCAACCGACTTTAAGAGATAAAAGGCTTAAAGGCCTCGTCATGGAGAGACAGAATTGTAGTTACTGTCAGAAGAGAAACATGGCATAGAAAAAATCCAGTTTTGACCTTAAAGACTTCGTGTTTGACCAGTATGTGGCCCTCATTCTCTTGTGGCTCACATTTGGCCCTAAAAGGCGGACCGAGAAGTACCATGTCTGGCCCAATATGGTGACCATGGTTATAATCGTTAGCCTTACGAAAACTACGCTTACTTAGTTTCAGTCCTAAAATCGGCCCTAATGTGTGTGCTAACTAAAGTGTGTATGCGGTCCAAATATTTATTTCATTCGTTTTTTCTTTTAACAGGGCCACAGGCAGAGAACATTGCTTCATGTTAAATACCCTCATATAAGTTTCTAGACTAAGACTTTCTTTATTGTCATTCAAATTGTACCTCACAGTGAAGATCAGAATGAAATGTCGTTAAAGCTAAATGGGGATTATGAGAAGAAACAGATCAGCCATTGAAGCAAGGGGGCAGACACACAGTTGAGAGGTTTAGTGTTTTTACAAGGACACATAGTGACTGGAGATAACCATTTATTTCAGCCTAGTTATTTACAAACGTGCACACTCCATATCAAGTTCCTTTCAGCTGTTAAATGAAGCCTCCAGGCGATTTGTGTGGTGGAGACAGGTTTATTAAAGCTTGCCTAGATGTTATTTTACACAGTTTTGTGTTTGTTTGACCTAAAAAGACCGAGGTGACATTTCAAACAGTAAATTATAAGCAGCTCAGTGTGTGTGTGTGCGTGCGCGTGCATGCGTTTGTGTGTGTGTGTGTGTGTGTGTGTGTGTGTGCGCGCGTGTGTGTGTGTGTGTGTGTGTGTGTGTGTGTGTGTGTGTAGGCCCGGGACAGGACGCCTCTCTGTCGGAGTCTCCAGCAGGCTAAAGGCTAAAGCAGCTCAGAGGCTGTAATCCCCGTATGAGACCATCATGGCTGCCACTCGCTGAGCTGTCAGAGCTGTCCACAAAAGAAAAGGTAAAAAACCGACACAACTACGCTCATAACTACAGCTTTAGCATTGACGTTTACAACCCAGCGGATTTATCTGCACTTAAAAGTCGACGTGGCGGTAAAAAAAAGTAACCTGGTCTAACTTTGCTGCCACGCTTTTTATTATCCAAGTTATTTCGTCTTTGTAAGCTGTCGCGTCAATTCAAATCACTCTAACGCTGTTTGCAGAGAGTTAGCTCAGATGCTAACCTTAAATAGCATGGTTTGTGTCTCCATGTTAAAGACTGGAGGACTCTTAAAAAGGTCACACTGCGGGACGGTTTTTATCGTAACTTCACTTTTCCCAAGGCGACGGTGGTTGCTCGTCACCAAGACAGGCTGTCTCATCACTTTGTTGTGGTCGAGTCAAACTGTACAATGGCCGCATCGTACACACAATAATCTGATCAAAAACTACTGCTGCACAAACTCTGCTCATCGTGCATGCTGTTGTTGTGTTGCAGCCTGCACAGTATAGCTTTAGTAGTTATGGATTTAACAATGAAGTTAAGTAGAAGTATCGTGCGAGCAGGTGAGTTTCAGTTTCCTGGGGAGCTGATTATAATCCAGGCTTGATCTGTGTGTGATGAATTCATATTCATGCAGAGAGATTTTGAGCCCATGCCAGCAACAGGTAGGAGAGCCGGACTGTGAATGCAGCTTGTTCTTATGGCTTTACTAAAGGAGTGCCACAAATCTCCAAATCCAGTTTTCAGGGGGTTTTTATGTCAAAAGAAATGAAGGCTATACATGTGAATGCATTTAATGACACTCTAATGCACTATCACAGTGGATATCAATGAGTTACAAATTGTTTATTATTCTGTACATATCTTTTTGAGGAGGTTCATAATTAAAACATGACTGTTAGCATAGCCAGAAGGCAGTCTTACTGGTTGTATCTCTGCACAAAGTTTAACATATTATCCTTGATGTTAAGTGTGTTAGTTACACTAAGCAGAAAACAGGAATGTGCTGCAATAACGCAGAGCACGTAAACATCCTCAAACTGCTCTTATAGACTGTAATATTTTCCAACTATCAAATGCTGGTTTTCATCTGGTTTAAAGGAGCTTTCTCTGCACATGTATGCAGGACATTTTAGGAGTGGGTCTCTCTTTCAGGTTTGTAGACGAACAGCCTCATCCCTCTTTTTTTTTTTGTCCAGGTTTCCAGGTTTGGCTAAATTGCACTTTGCACAAAGTTGCATTTACATTTGATTATAAGGGGATAATTAATTTTCGTGTCAGATGAAAATGAATTCAGTAGGGAAGAGAAGATGTTGCTTCAAGAGTGACTTCAGGGTAGCAGGAAGGTTTTACAGTTTGGTTAAACTTCTTTTCTGTTGTTTTGAGTCGTGCAGTGAGAACGGTCCTTCCAAAGTGATGCGTGGACTTACTGCTAAAAGCCGTTTTGTTTAATGTTACAGTGCAGTCATTATGAAACAGCACAGTGTCACAACAAATATCATGGTAGTACCTTTACACAGTTAAACGTCTTAAACTCTTTTTTTTTTTTTTAAATTATATTTTATTGGCTAGGACAGCTGAAGAGAGACAGGAAGCGCGTTGGAAGGAGAGAGAGGGGGCGGTGGGCGGCATGCAGCCAAGGGCAGAGACTGGATTCTAACCCACAGGGACTATATCCTCCATACATAGGGCACACGACATAACCACTATAGCTATCAGCGTCGCTTCTGAAACTCTTTGATTTAATGCAATTGCTTTGCTTTGAAGCTGCATTCTCACTGTTTTGTTAATGTGTGTTTCCTTTCACAGTCAGAAACCTGCAGAAGAATGGATTACAAACTGCGTGTCAGGAAGAATAGAGATTGGCACAAACGGCTCCACCTCAGGAGGGCTGCCGTTCAGCCCCCGACTATGCAAAGTGAAGATAAGCATGGACCAAAGAAGATAGCGGGGGAGAGGGGGCAACGCAAAGCGTGGCCTTCATCAAAGAAGCCCCCCCGGGAAGCACAACAGAGGACGAAAGACAGCGGACATTCACTCAGGTTCACATGCTCTCAGTGCGGGGACAATGTGGAATATGTCCCCAAAGACTTGGTGAGACACTTTGAGGAGAAACACAAAGGGAGCCTCCCGGTGTTTCCCTGCCATACGTGTACTTTTAGCACACATGAGTTCTCCTACCTTCAGGTTCATCTGCTAAGCCACAAGGACACTTTTTCTAGCTGCATCGTTTGTAATGACAATGTTCAACGCACATGGCCTGAGTTTAGTGCTCACCTGACCACGTGTCACTGCAAAAATGGCAAATTTACATGTGAAACGTGTCAGAAATTTTCAACAGCAGACGCCAGAGTATTTTTAGAGCACATGTATGCACATAATTTGGGCCAGGAAGGAGCTGATGGAGATATTTTCCTGCACAGAAATGACAAGAATAAAGCTTTGAGTTGTCACCAATGTGGCTACGAGGCATCTCACAAATGGTTGATTACGAAGCACATCAAAGCTGTTCATGTCTGCCAGAATGGTAATCAGAGGAGGAGGAAGAAGGAGGAGGGGAAGGAGGTTCATTCCATAGCAATGAAACCAAATGACCCCCCAATTCCAAAAATGAAGCCCAGGCTAACGAGGAGTGCTGTTAGAGAAATGTGCTGGCTGACAGAGGACTGCCTCTCTCTGCCGGGGAAAGAATTCCTGGATAAATACTGCCATCTGTCAGATCCTCAGACGACAATGGAGGAGACTCAGCAGTTCCTCATGAAATCTGTCGCCGGGGAAAACGGTGACCAGAGGTGGACCAAGGCCCTTAAAAACGTTTTGTCGAACGTCCCACAAGAAATGAGTCTTCACTCGAAATCAGAGAACGGGATCATGTCGAACACGGCCGATCTCACCGTCCTAACAGTCAAAAATAAAATCACTGTCGACCAAAATGGTGCTAAATATGCCAAGAGGTTAAAGTTAATGTCGTCAGATAAAGAACCTGTTTCCCTTGAAAGTGCAGCTGATGATGCTCATTGTGTTGTTGACCAAAAAGGTTGTGCGTCAAATTTAAATGATAGCACACCTGAAACCAAAAAAGATGTTGAAGATGTTACGATGCCCCCCCAGAACGAGCCATCAGAGTGCGCCCAAACACAGGAAAACCGAGAGAATCAGGAGGTCAAGACAGAAGAGGAAAAAATGAAAGATGTTAAGAAACAAGAGGAGCACGAGGAAGTTGTGAATACCATCTCCAAAAAGAGTGTTGAGCCGACGCCCATACGTAAAGTTGTGCACAAAATTAAGAGACGAAATAATAGATGGCGAAGAAAGAGAAGGTGTAAAAAAGTGGACCAAGAGTCGGCCGCGTTGGCCTTGAAGATCGTGTTAAAGAAGAATCCGGTGAAGGAGAAGCAGTGGGTGTCTCAGAGCTCCCTGTCTCCATCAGAAGATGATCCTGGACTGCCGAGCAGTCATGCATCATCAGAGGAGACAACAACGCTGCTACCAGAAGTACACCCGAAGAACATGACCAAAGCTCCCAAGAATGACCTGCACGACTCATCCCAAGCTGTCATTTCAACTTCAAAATCAAAGCCAGAAGAAAAGCTGACCCCGGGTTGTGTTGGAAAGCCAATGGGGTCTAAAAATATGGACAGAAGTGCGCAGATTGTGGCCGATGGCCTACAGCATCAAGTGATGCCAGATGATGCAGAGAAGTCAGCGGAAACAGAAGTGGACAGGAGCGGTTCAGCTGGCAGGACGGCTCCAGATTTGTGCCCTGAGAGCGTCCAAACATCAGGCGGTGACATGGACGGTGACGCGCCAGGTGATGAGACGAGTTCAGCCGCTGATGGAGTGACCTCTCACAGCAGCTACAACAAGTCTTCCCCTGAGGCGCAGCCTGCCATTACACCACAGGGTAAGACTGCAAATTATAGTCTCCACATACACATCAGGGTAAAGGTTTTAACATGTGGTTACCTTGATGTTTGGGTGGGGCCATTTGGCTAAAAATATGATCTGGATCATTTTTAATGCACATTTAATACTGCACATATAAAATGCAAGCATAATGTATCTTATATGTGATGCCAATTAATAAAACCACAGATTCATTCAAATTTTATTGCTTAGGCAATTATCATGAACTAATGTTAAGATACATTTTTTCTAAACTGGTACATACAGGGAATAAAATAGTTAAATTTCTTGATGCTCACAAAAAGCAGACACAAGAAGTCCGTTGGGTCTGCGTCCTGAGTTGCAGCTAACAATGTTAGCTCTTTTTTTTTAGGTCAGGATTCCTTATAGGGCTGTTTTTTTTTCACACAACCCCAGGATACGATACGTATCACGATACAGAGGCCACAATAGGAAACACATCGTGATATACATTGATTTTGAATAATGACCATGTCACAAATACACTACAACAGCTGTTCTTTATTGTTGAGGCATATTAAGGATCCTACAACTTAAAACCCTTCAACTCAGGTCCTCAGAGATCTTAGAAATGCATATCAGTATAACATATGTTAATCTTTCCAAACTGTCATCACAGCTTTGCAGACGTATCCATTCTGTAACATCTGCATGGATATATCTATATTTTTTTTAGCACAGCCCTAATTTTTTATATGCATGTTTGTCTCCTGAAGGTTAAAACAGGGAGACAAACTATCCACAGAGGTCTTCTACCGTCCATAATAAACAGTAAAACACACCTTCCTTGCCCCTTTTAGAGAGCTTAACCCTTATGCCCTGTTAAGGAAATGTGTGTAGTTGTGAGGTGCATTTATTGAGGTCATTTGGCTGGGATTGTTCCCTAGCCATAACATTGGTGAGGAAAGTGTATTTTTTTTCATCCATACACAAAGATATTGATCTTTGATAAGTTTATTGCAGTTTAAAATTCAAAATACAAATCTTGTAGTTAACAGTCCCAACGTAGCTTTTTCTTAGCGGCGCGTAAGGGTTAAGAGGTTGTGAGCTGAGCTGCTGCTAACATAGATTTTCCCAGCTATGATCTACCAAGTTACAGTGACGAGACCTGAGAGAATGAGAAACTCATCTGAAGATTTAGTGCATATTTACTAAAAACAACTACAAAGGTTCACTCCATAATTTCTGTTTTGCAAGATCTGATCGCAAAGGTTTGAGGTAATAGTTCCAGTTCACCCCAAATGAAAAATATCAATCTTTGTAAAGATGCAGATAAAAATTTATTTCTCCATCATATTCATGTGACTCACTTCTTGTTGGTGGTACTGGGATTGATTACGGCCCGGTCCTATTTGATAGATAACTTACTGGATACATGTTTGTTGTTTTGTTCAGCCTAAATGTTTACGATCAGTCAGTAGGGTTAACCTGTTTTTAATGCATTTTTATCCCCCTTTGTCTCGCAGTTGAGGTAAACTCTGAGGATGTTAGCCGTGCTCTCGCTTCAGAGCAGGCTTTTGAGGGGAAGAGAGACAGAGACGTGCCAGCAGAATCCTCCCCAGCTCTCCATGCTTCACGCGAGTCATCTCCAGACTCTCAGCATCGCTGGCAGCTGGCCTCAAAATCCCTGGAGAGGACCCTTAAGTTAGTAGCCATAAATCCCTCTCAGCTGGTGAAGCGTCCAGCAGGAGACCAGCCAGTTGTGGTGCTTAACCACCCAGACGCTGAAATCCCTGAGGTGGCCAGGATCATGGAGGTCGTCAACCGGTACAGAGGAGAGGTGCAGAAGGTCGTTCTGTCTCGGAGGACGGTGAACGCTCTCTCAGGAGCGAACGGAGACGTCACCGAGGCCGATGACTGCTCAGATCCCGCAGGGCTCGGCAAAAACGCTGTACAGGAGAGGTTCTTGTTAAAGATGAAATTTCGCAGGTTGAGCAGGAAAAAGTACGAGGTGGTCGACGCCGCATCTCCCGGCCGAGACGCCGTGACCAAGTTCAGCTGCTGGTTCTGCGGCAGAGTGTTTGCATGTCAGGGCACGTGGATGGTCCATCGACAGCGACACCTGATAGAGTGGAAACAGCCAAACTGTGAAGACTCTTAAACGTCGCACACACTGGATTTAAAAAAAGAAAAACGTCTGGAAAAGTTTGCAATACAACAAAACAACAATGGAAGCCCTGATCGCCAGTCTTCTCAGCTTAAAGTCTTAATTCTGATTGGTGGGTTTGGGAGGAGAATCAGACGAACGCCACATTCTCAGGGTCAACATTTCCTTTGTTGTCTCTCTCCCCCCGCGGACATGAATGATCATTTGTAAAAGGACGTGCTGTCTATAATTGAGTTCTTTGTATAGTTTATATTTTGTCAATGCAATAGCTTTATTTAAGGTGATTTAAGTACACTGTCGTAAGGAATCTTTTATACAACACTGTAATTTGTATATTTGCCATACCATCTATGAATCAGTTAATGTACGGGTAGGCTCGGCAGTGTGGTAGCTATCATATTTATGTTTGTGGAAAAGGGGACGCAGAGACCCTCGAGTTACTCAGAAAAACCAAAACTGTGTGTTTGTAAAGAAAAAAACAGACAATAAGCTGTTTTTATTCAACGTTTATTTATGACTCTTACTTTTAGCCTTTATATGCTTTCCTTGTGCGTTTCTTGCCCCCCCCCCCCCCTCGGAAGAATCAGCTGAACCTTTTTTTTTTTTTTTAAATCTTCAAATAGTATTATTACTCATTCATTTAACAAAGTCAACCTGTGTTTGTGACGTCAGTGAAGTACAAGCAGAATAATTTCTTTCTTTTTGTTTTAAATCTGGATGCACGAGGCCGAGAGATGATTTCTCCCTCTCTCTCTTTTGATCTTATCTTTTAATTGCACTATTAAAGGAGGGTTAATATTTCCCGTTACCTCACATTACGAGGCCGAAGCCTTTGACAATCTCAGCCAGAGTCCGGCTGCGGCTCATCATTTCCTCCCTCAGTATTCCCAGCAGGGGTGGCGGTGGCTCTCGTGTACACCTGTCCTGTCTCCTTTGGTCCTGGCAGGGACACCTCACTGTGTATAAACCTTTTTAAATCCACATAGATTTATAATTGTACATAGTCCAGATAGAGGTACTGTAAAACATGACCGGATAATTCTCACCAAGTGCCTAGGAATCCTTGTTATGCAACTAAATGTGCATGAGTATGATAGCATTACACGTTGACCAGAAAATACACGAACCAGCCGTCAGCTCCTTGGCGGCATTTTGTGATGACTGAAGATGTGACTTGTACAATACAAGAGTTTTATTAAAAACTTAATATACAACCGTGTTGTTGTGCCTCTGCAAACTCACAAAGAACTGATTTGTACATCAGCGACATGGTCACATTCATTTTCATACATTTCCACACTTAAGCCTTAAAAAAGAAACTTCTATAAAACATGAGCGTGACAGTTTTTTTTTTTTTTTTAGCTCTGCAGGGCCAGCCGTGCAGGCGAGTCCAGCACACCATCCTGCGTAATGCAGGAGGAAAATCCAACAATCAGGAGTCTTGACGGTGAACTCAGCAGGAGCAAGTGGGATGCAAAAGTCCAATCAGCAAGCTGAACGCTCATCTAGGGCTTCACAGGGTGGCACAGTTTGGTGGCATCCTTGCTGTTATTCTGACTGTCAATCAGCACCAGAGGATTCCTCTGATGGTTCTCAATGATGTGGGCAACGCTCCTGAAATACTGTGAACACAAGAATGAGGATCAAATTTGATTAAAAAGTGAAATTTATCCTTAAAATCACTTAATTAGAATGAGACAAAAAATGTCTTTCCAACACTCTTCAAAGTTAATAAGAAAAACAAACCCTCAGGGTTATGGAAGTAAAGCTGATCTTTCCTTTTCTATTTCCACCACTGTTATATTTAATCTACCTTTTATGTAAACAACAGCATTATTGGCTTGCAAAATTACATTTACAACACCCACATTATAAACTGTATGGATTATGTAGAGATGCGCTTTATGCAGCTCTGCATAATTTGCATATGTAACTATTTATGCTTTATGAAGCAGAAGGCAAAGTTAAGGTTCGTTATTGATATTGACAAACGAGAATGAGTGTAGAAAAGCTCCAGGCATGCTCCTCGTTCTAGGAAAGTAATGATATATTTTGTGTGTTGTATAAATTATTTGTCAGTCTCAGCAGGAGGATTAGCATGATGACGTAAAGCTGGTTGTCTGCTGTAGGTGGATCTGTAACCATTTAAATGATAAATGAGTCTTTGACACCGCAGGTCACACCTACACATTCACACCCTGATGGTAGAGGCTGCTGGGTAAAGTGACCATCAGAAGTAACTAATCTCATTCATACACATTTAGACACTGCTGATGAAGCAGTGGGAGCAACCTGAGGTTAAGTGTCTTCTTGCCCAAGGACACATTGGACATGTAGCTGCAGTAGCCGGAGATTGAACCCCCGACCTTCTGGTTGAGAGACAGCCTACTACCAAGTGAGCCACAGCCGCCCTGTTTTTTAAACTCCTGCATCCGACCTGCTGGCAACAAAATAACTGAAATGTTTGCAGAAGGACATTTTGACCTTGATAAAGCACAGGTGCTATCAATCAAGTGTCGTTGGCTGAATAAGATGTAGCTGTTGATTTTCAGCATGCTAGTGCCCTAACATCTTTTAAAGTCACACTTTAATTACCTTTCAGTTCATTTATCTTAACTGTCGCCCATTTTAGATACAGACTCAGATACATACGTCACCTCTAAATAACTCCTCACTGTGTCTCTTTAGATAAGATGAGATGACCTTTATCGTCCCAGTGGGAAATTTGCCTTGGACCTCACAGTGCTCTGATGCAGTAAAATAAGTATCAAAGTGCTTTCATTCATCAGTGAAACATGTCCAGTTAAATACCACACAAAACCATACCTATGAAAAGGTATTTGGTTTGGGGGCTTTTTGTGCCTTTATTTGAGAGACAGGACAGTGGATAGAGTCAGAAAGTGGGGAGAGAGTGTTTGGGGAATGACATGCGGGAAAGGAACCACAGGTCGGATTTGAACCTGAACCACCCGCTTTGGAGGACTTGAGCCTCTGTACATGGGGCACGCACTAACCACCAGGCTACCAGCCTCCATATGTAATAATTAAGAACAGTGATGAACAACTACACTCTTACACACACCTTACAGATGAGGTGGTGTTGAGGACTTTGATAGACAAGGGGACAAAGGAGTTTTTAAAACGTTTTTCCTGCCCGAGGGAACCCTGCATCATCGGACTGAGGGGAGGAGCTGGGACTCAGGGTGGAGAACATGAGATGGGTCTGAGATTATTTTTTTGTGCCTGTCTGATTATGGCTGGTTGAAAATGATCCTGGAGGCTGGGATGTTGATGGACTCCCATGAATGATTGTAACATTGACTGAAGTTAAATGGATAAATAAGTTGACAGTGGGATAAGACCGTGAGAAAATGTTGCACAGTGATGAGAAGAAGTGAAAGGAGGAAGTGTGACAAGAGTTGAAACCAACACCAAATACATTCATCCTGCACTTTACCCTTTAGGAATCATGTTAAATGATTCAGTTATTTAGATAGATGATGTGCCATTATATGACTGTCAGACAGAATCGCTGTATTGTGATATCATCATGAGCCATGAATCATGTATCCTATTCATAGGCTGTATAAAACATAGACGTAGTGTCAGTGATGTCACCCATTGTGTCCTGCAGCACAATTTTGAATCCATAAGGATTACAAGCCAGTCGACCTGATTTAACCTCAAGTTTGTGATGGATTACAGAAACAAAATGTAATAAAACTTGAAAGTACGTCTAACAAAACAACATTTTTACAATGATGTTGAAACTTTAGACATTTTGTTCATATTTTGCTCTTCATTTACTGAACTGCGACTGTGACATAGTAGAAGAGGGAGATATTACAGCCTGTCCAAACTGTACTAAACTGTCCTATCAGCATGCAAAGCATGCGAGCGTCAGTGACAAAATCAGCTTGATTCATTTGTTTCCTGTTGGAGTGATGCAACTCGAAGCAGCACGCCACCCCCTCTCTGTTGCTCAGGTAGACATGGAAGAGGAAGGAGGCACCTGCACTCTCTTTTCTCACTCAACAGAGTGTGTTAGCTTGTTTGATAAAGGGGAGATAATGGTGCATTAATAATATCCACATCCATGCTTGAATGTAGAGCTTTGACTTGTGTCAGCACCGAAGAAAAACTTTCTTCGTCTCACCGCGAGCCGTATATTGACGAGCCTCTGAGTGTTGAGATTTGAGTCAGCAGCTCGTCAATACAAAGCAACACACATCCCTGTGTCCAGCTTCAATACAAAAACACTAGACATCATTCTGTTTGAAGGGGGAAACTGAAATTCCCAGAGAAATAATTAAATATTTAATGGATGCAGTGTGGACAGCGAGCGAGTGACCATGCCTGATGCGACGACGTGACATCCAACGTTGTTAGGGTTGTGAAAGAACAATGGATTTTGTACCCATAACATATTCAACCAAGTAGCTGTATATATCAAGCCTAAAATATTCTAATAAAAAGGAGCTGTTAGGAACTCTGTGTGGATTTTGGCGCCCGCTTTGGACAATGTTTGTACTCTGAAGCCCCGCTATTTATAGGATTTGGTAATCCTTAAAAGTATTTTCGGTCAGGTTGCTCCAATTCAGTTTTTATTTGGGAAATTTGGGAAAAAGTAAGCTGGATGACCAGATCATGGATAGCAAAAGAGTGGATTTCTAAATCTGTATCTTTCTTATCCAGATTAAACCTTTGAAACAACCGGGCCCAGGAGCTGACCTCATACTCAGGACAAACAACACATGTAAAAACAGGCTATTCCTACAAAACCATTTCTACCTATCTACAGGGAAACATTGTGTAACCCCTGCTGACTCTCAGGCATGTTGTAATCACAGGCCAAAGTGTGAAATCCAAACAGAGAACAGAGACACATACCTCCTCCCCTTTCTTCTCTCTTCCCAGAGCGTACTGCTGAGTAGCCGACATGAAGCGGATCGGGATGTTGTACACTCTGCTGTTGTAAAACACCACTAACGTGTACGGCTGCAGTGCGTCTTGACCCGAGCTCTTCCTCACCATGAACGCCCCGTCCTGAAACAGAGAGCACTCACAGTCACTCCCTGCATAGGGTTATGGGACACGATCCACGACGTGCTTCTCATTCGGATCATAAATAGTTAGCGCTCACTTTATTCGAGCGCAACAAGACGTCGTCAGCAGTCTTTCGGTCGCATGTGTTGTCATACCAGGGTTTCCTCAACACGTCTGCATCCTGACATGAAGTAAATGAAGATTATCCGTATTTTAAATCATCACTGAGTTTATTTTTTCAAACAGAATAAAAGAGCTCACCTTGTCTTGATCTGCTGACCCGTCTTCAGCAGAAACAGCTTCTCTGTCAGCTGCTTCTGTGACGACAACAATATGAGGAAAGAATAGTTTGTTAGATTATGTAGAACAGTAACATTCAGTGTATCACATGTTCAAGTTCAGAATTCCTGTGTTGTGTTTTTTTTATCCCGCGGCGAGACTCGAACAGGAGTTGTACTTACTGTAGGAGGTGAAGTGAGGAAGAGGAATTCTGCAGGAGAGACCACAAACAGAGCAAATCCACAGTGAATGCAGAGCACACAGCCGACATGCAGATTATAAATCAAAGTAGACGCATCTTAAGGCTCACTGTAAATATAACAAGGGGTGCACACGAGTAGCAGTTTAAATAGAAACATTCAGCACCCTCACCAGTCGGCACCAGAATTACTAGACAGTTCAAATAAGAGAGGGCGAAACCACCTGCAAGTGACTTGTTCTAAAAACTATTCCAGGCAAAAATAGCATTGTGTGAAACATGGGTAGTCTCATCAAAGAAAAGGAAGTCTGGATTTTTTCACAGGGCTTGACAGTTCTTGGTACCCCGGCCCGGTAGCAGTCGTTCTCTACAGAGTGAATACGTTCACGTTCTAGTTTATGACTCGCAAATGTACTCGTTCAGTTCACCGTTCACCTAAGAAATAAGCACATTCAATGCCTTCAGCCACATTACTGCCTCCTGAAAATAGTCCAGGGTGGAGAGGCACAGTTGTTGAGTTTTTGACACGGTCAAAGTAATGGGGTCCAGATGAATTATGTTAAAAAGAGGGTGGGACTGGTCTCAACCTTATACAATGGCTCCTATGCCAATGGCTTTAGCTACAATAAATGGCGATTTCTACAATGCTCTACTACCTGTAAACCAGCACAGTGAAGGATAGCATCTCAT